AGTGAAGCCTGACGGGGGAACTGGAAGAAGGCAAAAATATATAGAATCAAGTCGAAAGATTGATTAAAATCGTTGACTGATCCAGACAAGCATGTCAAAAAATCCAACGCAAAGCTTCTTATACAATGGTAAGAGTGTATAGATCAAGACAAAACAATTTTTAATACGTGGTACTTTAACTTGGGGCGGCGGCGAAGATCATGTCGGATACAACAGGCCCCGATTGTGCCACATATTATACTTCTCTACGCATGACGATCCGCGGCAGCAGAACCAAATGGATCGACCCATTCTCTTCGCCAACGACGCAGGCCGAATAGCGAAGGCCCTAGAATCCCTTCCATGCCTTGACTAGCTGTGATGAGTCAGATTTTGAGCTGAATCCCTCTTCGAACTCCTCACATTGGGTAACGGTCTCAAATGGAGGGCAGTAACACTGACCTCATGTGACGGACGACGAAAAGCATGCCCCAGACGGTGTACCATCAAAAATAACCGCCATGATGATGGCCTACTATCGCTTTACCACTGGACAAGTTTTGGTCCATAAAAATGTTTTTAAAAGATTCGGTATTCGGTCTGGTGTTCGAAAAAGTTGTATCCTGTCGCCCATTCTGTTGAACTACGATACTGACTAGATTCTCGGGAGATTCGTAGATTAAAATTCGGCGTTTAGTTTGCGCCCGGACGCCGACCTACCGATCTTGACTACGCTGAGGATATCGCCCGACTAGCTTTAAGTTTTGATGATCGGCAGTGTATGGGGTCACGGGTGACTGAAGTCGTTAAATCGGTCGGTCTATCTATAAGAGTTGGGAAAACCAAACTATTTAGGCTGCATTCTTGACTTGGAGAAGGCTATTAATTTGCAGAAATAGACCGTTTCAAATACCTCGAGGCTAGGCTGCGGCAAATGCACATAGTAAGGACGACATGGTCTCTCGAATCGATGGTACGCGTTGAGATTTCTCACGCCTTGGAAAGTGCCTATGGATCCGACGCGACGTTTAGATTGCCACGAAAATTCGCGTGCACCGTGTAGCTGTTCAGTATATCCCTATTTATAGTTATGAATGCTGGGCTGTGCACGTGGAAAATGAACGAAAACTGGGGTTATCCGACTACCGCTGCCTGAGGACTATCCTTCGAGTGAAGTATACCGACTTCGTCGCAAATGAGACGCAGTGCGCACGCGTTGCAACATCGCACAGATATTCCAGGTTTTCCAAGATAAGCAATACCCAAGGCATTAGAGAGGGCATAACTTATATCATATCATATTTTTCGGCTACAATCCAGAAGAACCCCACCTCAAGGTTGAAAAGACTCCAGTGTGGACTCTGGTTCAATTGACCGATGAGCTTAGTGTTCAAACAAAGTAACTACTGGCAGACGCGCTGTTGGTCACGATCAGAAATGTCCAGCCCAGTTACCTAATGTATGAGTACATCAATTAGGTGAAAGAAGAAGCCGCTTAAAAATCCACCTCTTTCGCTTAAGAAAGAGGAACATGGCGCCGACGCAGATGGCTTCGTCATATCTCATTACAAGCACAAATCGAGGTCATCCGGGAGTCGACTGCCCAAAGGTCACGTTCGCGTCGAACTGA